CCAGCACTCGCAGCTCGATAAGGCTGCTCTCCATCTGCACCAATCGGCGTTGGTAGCATAGACTTCCTGCCTCTCTTTTGGTTTCGCGCAAGTCAACATTCAGGGGAAAGCACCTTCAGAACCACTTGTCGTGTGGCCGCTATCGTGCGTCTCCATCCATGCCTTCGTCGCCACCCTCGTTGATGCTGCATGCTTGCTTCAGCCTTCTCTTCACCGTCGTAACACTGCCACCCCTTCTCCCTCCTTCCCTCGTTCATGCCACCCGTCCTTTCCCCTTTCACTTCATCGGTCGTCACCTTCTCCATCCTTTCTCTGTGTTTTTGTGTTCCTTCTTCACCATCTTTTGTTTTTCTTTGATACGACGCAAATGTGAATCATGTCCCCTTCTGGCCTTGCCGTATGCCATTACGAGCGTGTGCTGTTCTATCCCCCTCATTGTGTGCAACTCTGGATTCAAATGCGGCGCGAACGAGGTCGGTCAAAACGGACATGACAAGCGCACAAGCAAAGCAAGCACACGCTCAAGATCACTGGGGAAAGTGGATGAAATGCATGCATTGCGGCGCGACATTGTATAAAGGTGAGAGGGATTGTAAGGATGACTATTTGCTGCCGTTGGTAGCGGCACGATCGCGCACATACCCAGCCGCCTGATTGGCGACCCTTGGACCCAATCCAGGGCCCAAACCGGCCTTGCTTTCGTTGGCACTAGAACCGATTTTGCCCCAACCTGGAGCACTAGATTCAACATTCTGCTGCCAACGGCTGATCAAGCTGCTTACTCCTTTGAATCTGTCCTCTTCCCCTCCTGCTGCATTTGCTGCGGTTGTGTCGTCGGTTTGGGAGGACGACTCGTCGAGAAGTTCTGAAGGGGAGGAGGAAGAGGGACGCTTGTGCAGGGAGGTGGAGGCGGCGGGGAGTGCAGAGTTTTTGACAATGCCTCCTTTGGATGCGGCTGCACTGAGAGCTGCCTCGCGCTCCCAGGGTTTCATGGCAGAGGGGGAGGCGAGAGAGGCGCCGCGAAGATGTGTGCCTTTGTTGGGGCGGATGGGAGTGGGCCGTTTGGGTTGGATGATGACTGGCTCAGCTTGCTGTGGTTCGGGTCTGAATTGAGACTGGCGCGCGGAAATGACGTTGCTGCGAGGTCGAATGGCCTCCGGAGCAGCAGCGTTGGCGGTGGAGGAAGGATCGAGTGAGAATGAGCCGAGTTTATCCTTAACCGCTTCGACAGGGGTAGAAGGGGATGCCGGGGATGTAGCTACGTCCACCAACTGCTTGGACGATGCAGGCGCGTGTTGGGGATTCCACCTCGAAGCAATGGACGAAGAAGGCTTGCTGTTGTTGTGCGAAGGCGAAGCAGGACCAACAGAAGATGATTTCGGCTCCGCCATGCTGTCCTGCGTGCTGTTGCTCCTCGAAATGGACGGCTTAGCAGCGCCCGCCTGCAGCTCAGGCTTGGGAAGCGCGTTCATTTCTTCCTCATCTTCTTCGTCCCATGCGGGCGCCTTGACTTTGGCAACCGATGGCATCGGCGGGCTCTCCTGCACCTTCTCCTTTTCCTCCTTGTTCAGTACAGGAGCAGCATCGACCGAAGGCTCGGTCTCAAGCTCGTCCGCTGGGCCCCGTAAAAGAGCCTCAAGCTGATCCTGCGCCTGTCTCGCCGCCTCGTCCAGCTGTTCTGCCGCGGTAGCGTCCGTTATCGGCGAAACGAGCTCTGCAGCAGGCGACTTGACCTGGCTGTTGATCGACGAGCTCGACATCAACCTTTCTGCTGCTGTGGGAGAATCAACGGCGTCCACTAGCCAAGAGGGGGCTTTGACACGGCCTGGAGTAATGCGTGGTCGCTCGGGTTTGGGTGTCTCACCATTGACACCGTCCTCATACTGCATCTGGGTAGATGATGCGGCGGTGCGAGAGGTGAAAGAAGATAGCCGATCGGCAGACAAACGAGGCGGCAGGGTCGGCCGTTGCGCCACAGCTTCTTCGGGTTGTACCGGTTCGTCTTCGTCTGAAGAAGCTTCGTCAAGGTCGAGCTCTTTCCCAGCATCATTCTGCGCTTCGCGTGTAGATAGGCTGAGAGGTGCTTGCGTTTTGGAAGCATAGACCTTCGTATTTTTCTCTTTGAAAGCCTTTTCAGATTCTTCATCAGAAATGTCGCCTGTGAGCCAATCTTTCGAAGCGGGAGACTTCTTGATCGAAGTTTGCGGCTCAGACTCTTTACCAACGCGATCGTGTGCAACGATGGAAGGTTGCCATCGCTTCGAGACGCTTGCCGAACGAGCCTTGCTGCCACTGGCGGAAAAAGCAGAGATGGTGGCGGATTTGCTGAGCGCTGGCACTCTACCCGAGCCGGGTCGTCGGGGCTCAAAGGGTCGCTCGAATCTTCCAGCCATTGCACCGACGCTGGCGCGATTGGCAAGACCGGGGACGTTGACTTGACCGCCGGAGCTGGAAGGCAGGCTGGAAGGGGCAGATGCCGGAGCACTTGTACTTGGAGAGCCGGGCGCTGGTGCTGATACGGGAGAGGCATACCTCGCATCCAGATCCTCTAGGCTAGGGTAACGGTCAGTGAGCTCATCACGAGGTGTTCCGCTCTTCTGCGCTGCAGGTGCTTCTTTTAGCGGTGGGGGAAGAGGCGACGCAGCGGGGCTGGGCGCGACACTGAACCCTGGCAAAGCTGGACTGTGGCGCAGTGGCGATAGAGCCGGCGAGGGGGCATTAGAGCCAGACGCACGGAGGAGGGTTTTGTCGATAGGTCGGTCGGAAGCGTTGCCAGCAGCCTCGCCACTGAGGACTGGAGAGACGGATGGTGGGCTCGGTCGCTTGGGTAGAACTGGTGGGCTTTCCTTCCTCATAGCTGCGGGAGCAAACGAATCGCCAAAGCCCTCGATCAACGGTCCTGTCTTGACAGGTGCCGGTTTAGAATCGGGCACATTCCACGTAGGGGCGCTTTTCTGGGGAGCTTCGGGTGACTTGGGTGCGGGAGAGCTCATCTTAACGGCATCCTCTTGAGGCTTTTGGACGGGTGAGTCCGTAGTTCCTGCAGATGCCTTGTTGGGTCTACCACGACGCATGGGGGTGATGCTCTGCTTTTGCAGCTCGAGTTCGCGGGCTTCGGCTTGCTCGAGCTCCTTCTTGGACGGACCCATGGAGATAAGGTTGGCATCGATGCCTCCGGTCGGGTTGGGCCTCTCTTGCAGCAGAGAAGCTTCGGTGTTCGAGGACGGCTTTGTGCCGCTGACGAGAGTCGGTAGTGGAGCAGCAATCTTGCCACTGGCCGCTGCTGATGCGTAGTGGAGCGCAGCTTGAGGTGGACGCGTGCCGAGGATTTGGTGGACATTGATGATGACTTGATCGACAGTTGGACGATCAGTGCTCTGCTCCTTGAGCATGGAATGGATGAGCTGCTTGAGGCGATCCGAGTAGACAGGTTGAGGCGGAATGCGGTACTGGACATTCAAGATCGCCAAGGGGCCACCTCCGTTCTCTTCGAAGGGAGTTGTGTAGTAGCAGAGCTTGTAGAGCAGAACACCGAGGGCCCAGATGTCGGCCTTCTCGTCGATGACGCGGCGCTGGTAGACGTCGACCATCTCGGGAGCTCGGTACTGCAAGGTTGTGTGCTTATTGAGGTCGGCCTCGACTCTTTTGACTTCATCCATGCTCTTGGCAGGTTTGCGAGAGAGGACGGGTGCAGCTGAGCCGAAATCGCAGAGCTTAAAGGTGGCTTTGAGGTTGGAAGAGGTGGAACGGGAGCCTGGAATAGTGCCAGGATCGGTGGAGGGTGCCATGAGGATGTTTTCTACCTTCAAATCACGATGCATGAGGGGTGGGTCAAGGTGGTGCATGACGGCTACACCGGCACAGACGTCGCCAAAGATCTTGAGCACCTCTTCTTCGCGGAGTCGATCGCGCAAACGTGCATTCATGAGGCTGATGATTCCACCACCTGAGCAATACTCCATGAGAATGAAAATCTCGTAGCCGCCGCCTTGTAATGCTGTAGCGGAGGCTTCAATGAAATGGACGATATTGGCTTGGTTGCGGAGGAGCTTGTGCACCTCGACTTCTCTTCGGACGTCTGCAAGTGCTGCTTTGTCGGGGACGGCCATCCTTTTGAGGACGTGTACGGTTTCGCCTCGTTCCGCCGTTGCACTGCCTGCCATTGAGGCACCAATGACGCCGGTGACGGAGGAAGGCATGGGGATGGGCTGCGAAGTTGTGACGAGGTAGACGTGAGCGAAACCGCCTTCAGATAGATAACGCTTTACGGTGACGGTGATGTTGCCGACCTTGACCCTGGTGCCTGGAGCCAGAGTGCCCTTGTAGGGCTGCTGGTAGGCGCCACCCATGGGCGGCATGGGCGGTTGCTGCTGCTGCTGTTGCGGTGCATATCCGGGCTGAGGAGCGTAGCTACGCTGTGCTGCGGCCTGCGAGTTCATGTGGGCTGGGTAAGCCTGGCCATATTGCGACATGATCGTGCCCGCAGCTGCGGTGTTTGAGGCCGAGGCGATGCCGCTGAGCTTTCAATGATGTGTTGTGCGTCCAGATTGAGAGGCTGTGGTGATGGTCGGAGCAGCCCAGTCGTTGATAAGCTCCTTCGTGATGATGCCGTAAAGGTTGAAGAGGAAAGCAAGGCCGAGGATTGGAGGAGTGGAGTTGGTGAGAGAGAGTGTCGAGCTCGGCAAGATTGTACTGTAGTTGAAAGTGGCTCGTGTGTCTTTGCGAGTGAAGTGTGGTCTTGGATGTCAACAACCTGTGTGACACTGGTGTGCTCTTGATTGAAATTCCGGCTGCAAAGAGGGGCACAAGGCTGTGGTGTGTTGTGTGTGTGTGTGTGTGTGTGGTCCGTGTGCCTTCTCCGTGTTGCTTTGTTCCTGTTTCTATTGAGCCGGTGACACTCGACAATGCCACGAGGTAGACACGGTCTAACATTAAGAGGCCGTCAGGGGTTCCATCATCAGCTGTGTTTATATGCAACTTGACAACACCTTGTCACGTGAGCATTGATAGTGTAGGGGTATCATGAGTCGTTGCCAAACTCATCATCTGCTTCATGCGATGTGACTACCGATTCGACTCGACCGGGGTTCGAGTCCCCGTCAATGCATTTCTTTTTGCAATTTCTTCTTTGGCTTGTCTCTTTTTTGGTGTCATTGCGGATCCGAGCAGAGGGTACTGATTAGCCCGCCCATGCACAACGTGTCCTTCTCACCTGCAGCAGCTTGCTTTTGTGCTTCATCTTTTCTACATTGCTCAACACCATCCATACTCACGTCATCTTAGAGGAATTATCATCATGTCGGAAGGTAAGATTCAGTCCAGCTAGCTGTACGTCTGGCTGCAATCCTGGTTGCTAATCGTAGTCGCTCTCCACCCGCTTTGCTATACAGTCGAACGCAGCGACGAACCTTCGCACTACGCGGACAACTTTGATCGCGATGCCAACTTCGACCGCAACGACAACTTCGACCGTGACGCCATGTCTCAGGACCGTGCTCGTTCCAGATCCCCCGTCGCTGGCGGTGCACCCTCCTCGGACCGAAGGGATTCTCACCGCGACCGATCCGACCGACCTCGCAACTTTCACGACCGCGCCATTGCATCCCAGCACGCCGCTCACGAAGCTTCACGAAAGAGTCAAAAGAACTGCAGGGTCTACGTTGGAAACCTCAGCTACGGCGTCAAGTGGAACACGCTCAAGGACTTTATGCGGGAGGGTGGGTAATTACATGTGGTTCGGCATGCTGATTTTGAACTTGACTGCAGGCGATCTGCTGAGAGTGTGTCGCGAAAAACAAGCCGGTCAATCATAGACATAGTATAGTGGATGGCTGGATGGATTGCTGATGGGAAGGCTTTTGCGCTTTTGTGTCCTCGGTTGGATTCGATCATCACCATGTCATTCGGACTCTGCTTGGCCAACATTCAACATCACAGCTGGAAACGTCGTCTTCTCCGAGGTGCTCACTCTTCCCAACGGAAGCTCCAAGGGATGCGGGTAAGTTGCTATCTCGTACAAGCATGTAGGCATGGTTAGGTGCTGACGCTCTTCCATCTTCTCTCCTGTCACATTCGTACCTGCAGTATCGTCGAGTACAGCTCTCCAGAGGAAGCCCAGAAGGCCATCAGCGAGATGACCAACAAGCAGCTCGAGGGTCGTCAAGTCTTTGTCCGAGAGGTAAGTTTGACGCTGATTATCGCCCTGGAAGGCTCTTCTTGTGGGCGGACCCTTCTGGCTGACACGTCTTCCTTTGCTTCGAATCTACAGGATCGTGAGGACGACGTGCGCTACGGCACCAACCCCGCCGGTCCTCCTCGTGGTGGTGGACGTGGTGGATTCGGCGGACCTGGCGGTCGCGGAGGCTACGGCCCTCCCGGTCGCGGAGGCTTCTTCGGTGGCCCTCCCCCTCCTGCCTACGGTGGATTTGCTGGAGGTGCGCCCACTCAACTCTTTGTCTCCAATCTGCCTTACGACGTCAGCTGGCAGGATCTCAAGGACCTCTTCAGGTCGGCAGGTAACGTTACGCGAGCCGACGTCAACATGGGTCCCGACGGACGATCCAAGGGCACCGGTATTGTTGCATTCGCCAACTCGAACGACGCCTCCAACGCCATTGCCATGTACCACGGCTACGACTTCCGCGGCCGCATGCTCGAAGTGAGGCTGGACAAGTTCGCAGGTCCCCCTCCGATGGACGCCTATGGCCGAGGCGGATACGGACCTCCCCCTCGTGGTGGTCGTGGTGGCTTCGGTGGAGCGTACGGCGGCCGAGGCGGATACGGAGGCCGAGGCGGTTACGGTGGTGGATACGGTGACCCTTACGGCGGTGGCTACGGAGGCGACCCGTATGGCGGTGGATACGGAGGTGGATATGGCGGAGGCTATGGCGATCGGTACGCTCCGCCAGCATACGGTGGCCGCCCCACCGGCCCTGCAAACGCACGTCCTGCAGCACCGCCTGCGGCACCATCGCAGCAGATCTTTGTCAAAAACCTGCCGTGGTCAACATCGAACGAGGATCTGGTCGAGCTTTTCCAGACCACAGGCAAGGTGGACGAGGCCGAGATCGTGTTTGAGCATGGCAGGAGCAAGGGTGTGGGTGTGGTGCAGTTTGCCACCACTGAGGACGCCGAGACGGCCATTGCCAAGTTTAACAACTATGTTTACGGTGGCAGACCGCTGGATATCGAGTTCAACCGCCGCTGGACCAACTTCCGCCAAGCCGGAAGCGTCAACGGTGGCAACGATGGCGATGCTCCGATTGCTGAGGCCTCTGCACAGGATCAGCACCAGGGAGAGGGCGATGCAGGAGAGGCTCCTGTTCCCATGCAGGCCTGATTGAGGCTATGCGTGCGATACGCCATTCAGATTCTGAGTTGTGAGAGAGCGCCTTGCACGATCAGCAAACAAGACACTTTTTTTTTCGGACGACGATGTCGCCTCAAGCTCACAACGAAGGAGAGCTTAGCTACAGCTACAACAACCTATGTAATGATATCTCGCTTTTCCTGCCTGGATCCCAATCTTTGGCTACAATGTGTTTGTGTGATCAACTGAGACCAAGCATGCTATAGAGAAACACTTGTCGATTGGTGCTGAGAGTAGTGATCGGCATTGGATTCGATCTTACTGTTGCTCATGTTGAACAACGAATCGGGAATCGATCTCGAATCCGGTCCGTGTCCCCCCTAAAATTCAACTTTTGAAATTGTTGGACGAAACAAACAGCCAGCAGCGACGAGGATGATCTTGGTGAAATGCAGCATGACGTGGATGGTATTGAGATAATGGTTGGTTCGAAAACTCTTGCCATTCGCTTCGAATCGCAATCTGAATCAACGGCACCTCATCCCAACTGGCGTACAGAGCAGCAGACGATCAAATGTTGAACCTCTCGTCTGTGCCTGTGCGAGAGCCACGTTTTGTACGAGTTGGGATGATGCCTTGGCGTGTGTGCTCTACAGTAGTTGCTCTTCTGCAACTCGACAGCAGGTTGCCGTCAGCACATGCGCATGCACATGCTCTCGCACAACTTATCGATCGATCGACCAAGATGCATGCAAAAGCAAACACCCTCCGACCCTCTTTCTGTTTTGACGCTGTTGGTGGGCTTCTCCTACACACTGCGCTCAGGGTCACAGTGCAGAACAGTGGTTGTAGTGAAATGAAATCGAGTATCCATGTGATGTGACTTGAGCCAGAGACACAACACGATGGTTTGCGATGGATGGCTTGTGGATTGGCACAGTGACAGCCGTCGAACCAAAAGCTGGCAGTGACACGCAGCTGAATGCGCACATTCTGCATCCAGGGCGGAGGCTGCAGCCAAAACAAAAAAAGTAAAGAGGTCAAAATTCCAGGGTGCACGGCTCCACGCAACGCCGATCCGCCCTCTCCCTCCCCTCCTTCTAGCGATACAGTATATAGTCTTGCTCGAAATCGCAAAGCTTCTCGTTCACACCATCACATCCATCCTTCCCCCTCACCGTTAGATAGAATCACTATAGCCACCCATCATGTCGCACCTCAAGTACGCCGACGCCAAGTATGTCTTCCTCACCGACTTTGACGGTACCATTACCCTCCTCGTAAGTCATCTTTTCCCTGTCTCTCGACCCTGGCGTCCTCAGAAGAATGCTCCGAGTCTATTTTTTATTTTTATTTTTTCTCCTTGACATGCTGCTCAACGGAATAGCTGACTCAATGATTGCTTCATCCTTCGCTCTTTCTCTGCATAACAGGACTCGAACGACCACATGGTCGACACAGTCGGAATGGGCTACACCGAGCGTCGCAAGATCAACGTTGAGATCGTCGAAGAGCGCGTTTCCTACCGTGAAGGTTTCAAGCAGATGATCGAGTCTGTCAAGCGACCTTTCTCCGAAATGGAAGAGCTCGTCCGTCGCGATGTCACTCTTGACCCCGGATTCAAGGAATTCTACGCCTTTGCTAAGGCCAACAACATCCCCGTCATCATTGTCTCTTCCGGTATGACTCCCATCATCCGCTCCATCCTCTCCAACCTCATCGGCGAGAAGGACGCCAACGAGATCGACGTCATCTCCAATGAGGTCAACTTCACCGACCCTGAGAAGAAGGGAGACACCTGGGAACTTGTCTACCGTCACCCTGACAACCACTTTGGTCACGACAAGTCACTCTCCATCGCCCCCTACCGCGAGCTCAAGAACCGCCCCACTCTCTTCTTCGCCGGTGACGGTATCTCGGACATGTCTGCCGCACGCCACGCTGATGTCCTCTTCGTAAAGGACAAGCAGGACAACGACCTCGCCACCTACTGCCGAACAAACAACATCCCCCACCACATGTTCAAGGACTGGACCATCCCCAAGAAGATGCTCGAACAGATCATCTCGGGCGAACTCAAGATCGAAGATGTTGCCGGTAAGAGCTCCGACAACGGTGACTTCAAGGCTGGCTCCGCATAAACAAAGCCCTCTCTCATAAATACATGTACTGCTCGTTCAGAGGGATCAACGCTTATACTATGCTACGTTACGCCCAGGCACTGTAATCATACCACCCTTTTATTACGCTTATGAAAAGGGCAACAAACGATAGATTGGCTACCAGCTTTGACGCTTGACAGGCCTTGTGATGAGTAAGATGGTGTGTTTCTGTGCCAAACGCAAAAGATCGAGGACGACCGAGCCTGGTTCGTAGACAGTGTCACTCGGGAGAGGTCAAATCAGCATCATCAAACAAGCATGACGGGAGTGAATGAACTCTGCAAGAAAAAACAAGTCAAAAGATTGCGAATCGAGATTGTCAAAATACAAGCATCTGCCCTCTTAACCTCAGCCTTTATTTTTATCGTTCTCGGTGATGACCAAGGCAGTGAGAACGAGCAGAATTGTTGTAGGGGCGGCCAAGAAGGTATAAGCGGTGAAGATGGTTTTCGAGATGAGCCTTTCAAAGCTCGGATTGCCCTGTGCGCTCTGACTTGTAATCTGGGCCAGTGTCAGGGCGGGAGGGGAGCCAATGATCAGACATGCGCAAGCGACGAATACGGGATCGTCCATGACGTTGCTCGCCGTTGCCATGGCGTACCATGCCACAAAGGGAAGCAGGATCAGCGGGGTCAA